TATGAGTCTTCAGTCATACTGCAATGTCCAGTAGGTTTTCCTTGGAGAGTCACGTGTGAGTCAGTTCTGACTCAGTGGCGATGGGCAGACTTTAGGTATTGCATGCTTTAAACAAAGCTCTGCTTAAATTCTTTCTCTGACTCTCCACCATTCCCCCCAAGAAATGTCTTTTTCTAAGGCCTGAACCTCCTGGCAACATGCCCCACCAGCAAGATGGATTGACACTGTGACTGTAACAGTGGGCCTGAGCATATCTGAGATCTTGAGGATGGCACAGGATAGAACGGAATTCAGGTCTGTTGTTCATAAGGTCACTGTGAGCTGCACTCAATTCAGTAACACCTAAGAACACAAGAACAGGAGTTGGGCTACTAGAGAGCTGCAACCCAAAGGCGGTGGCCTGCTGCCAGCTCTGAGGGAGGAACACAGGCAGTTTGCTCCTGTGCATTTGTACAGCCTCTTGAAAACCCACTTGAGGGTCCTCAGGGAGTTATTTCTGGCTCAGTGACAGTGAATGTATGATTTAAAATAAGGAAAGGTGTGCGTGAGGGTTGTATCATTTCAGCATCTTTATTCAGTCTGTATGCTGAGTAAATAATACACACAACTGAACTATATGAAGAAGAACATGCCAGAAAATTTGAAAGAAGACTAACAACCTGCAGTATGCAGAAGCTCAAAGTCTTCATTATGTATTTCACTTCAACATAAGAAAACAAATCCTCACAACTGGACCGATAAACAACAGTATCATGAATGGAGAAATTACTGAAGTTGTCAAAGATTTTCCTTTTATTGGATACAGTCAGCATTTAAGGTATCAGGAGTCAAGAAATCAAACGTCGGGAACATTTGTTAGAAAAGACCTTTTTTAAATGTGTTAAAAACCAAAGCTGTCACCTTCAGGACTGAATCATGCCTGGGTCTTGTCAATAACTTCAAGAGAAAGTTGGACCAGAATAACAAACAGTAAAGAATCAATGCCTTTGACCTATAGTGTTGATGATGAGTATTGAATATGCCATGAAGACTGAGCCAATCTTTCTGGGAAGAAGGTCAGCTGAAATGCTTCTTGAAAGACATTGTGACAGCAGCTGGAATGCTTCTTGGAAGACATTGTGACATGTACTTTAGACATGCTACTACTAGCCCCTAAAGGTCGGGCTTGTAAAAAGTAGAAGACCCACAAGGAGAGGAAGACCCTTAATGAAATAGATTTTCATGGGGCTGCAACAGTGGGCTTGTGGATGGTAAAAGACTGTGAGGATGGCATTGTTCAGTGCTTTGAGTTGGCTCTGACTCACAGCAGCCCAGTGTACGACAGAGTGAAATCCCGTCGGCCCCTGCATTTGCTCCGCTGTCTTTAGGGTTGCTGTGTGTCAGAATCAACTCCACATCACCTAACCACATTGTTGGCAAGAGTTTAGGGGAAACAGACACTCCCATACATTGATGGTGAGAGTAATTGGCTCGATATAATTGGAGTGGGTAGAGGAGTTCTGGTAGCAAAGTTCTTAGGAAGTTGCACTGTTAACTCAGATATCGTGCTTCTCTGGCAGTTTGAATCCACCAGTGGCTCCATGAGAGAACAATGGGTGAGCTTCTCCTGTGAGACTTAGAGCCTTGTGGAGGGTCAGCTATGAGTCATTTCTGACTTGGCAGCAATGTCAGAGAGATTTGGAGCATGGTTTGGTCTTAACTATTAAAATGGAAATATTCAGAATACTCTCTTCCTCCCCCAGTAATTGCTTTTTCAGCAATCCATTCTTCATACATTGCTGCTAGATGCCATTGCCTGGGCTCCAACTCACCGCCACCTTATGAACGTTAAATAGATGGAAACCTAGTCACGTCCTGCTCTATCCTTGCAACCTCTGTAGTGCTTAAGCCCATTGTTACAGCCTATGTGCCTGTCTAGCTCACATTGAGGGTCTTCCTTCCATTCAGAGACACTCTACTTTTCTAATCATGGTGTCTTCTCTCAGGGACTAGTCTGTATGAATGGACAAAATGTATATTTATAGTGATACTCATCACAACTTTTTTTTTGCAACAGTATTATCAGTATCAAAATGAACACAATCTCAATATTCTATAGTAGGGAGCTAGTTGTTTTCTAGTCATGCAGTGATGAACTACTTATTAGGCAGCAATTACAAGGAGGGCACCTCTAGTCTTAGATGAGAAGATGTTTATAAAAGAGACTAAGGTGGAAAGAGAAATGTAAAACAGTATACAGAGTGTTGAGGTACTTTTAATGAGAAAATGTGTGTGATTCATGTAGAAAACAATGTAGTGTTGGTTCTTAAATTAGTGACCACAGATTAAAGGTGGGGTTTTTGTTGGTTTGGTTTGGTTTTTATTAAATGAGACAAGTGTTTTCCAAGCAGTTGCGTTTTGCCAAGCTCTGCTGTTCTGAGGTGTCTTTCAGACCATGTTATTCTGAGGCTTTCCAGCAGTGGTGCACATGCCTGGGACAGATGAAACCACACTTGTTAGAGTTAAAGGCTTCAGAGAGGCTAAATTCGGGAGCAGCAAAGAGTCACTAACAAAATGATGAGCAAGCTTTGTTTTTAGATACATTAGGAAGGAAGTGCATGTTGTTATAGGTATTGTAAGAATGCCAGGGTTTGTTTGTTTATTCAGCAAACTCTTGCTGTCTAGCTCTGGTGGATAAGGGCTGGACTGATCACTGCCTTTACATAAGCACATACTAGCTATTGGTATAGCAGGGAATATGGTAACATGAGACAATTACTTGGACAGTTCACTATAGTAATGTTAGAAGTAGAACCATTGACAGAGTTAGAAGAGAAACGTCTTGAAAGTAGGGGTTTATATTGGGGGGGGTTTTTTGCATCTAGAATAGTGTTTGGGACATAATAGCTGATTTATACATCAGATTTTCTAAATGAATGAATAGATGAACAAATGAATGCCAGTATCCCAATAGATAATAGAAGACTCTAATGAGGAAAAATTTAAGAGGCTTAATATAAAGAAATAGAATATTTGTGTGTGGGTTGTGAGGAAGGACAGGAGGGAGGGCAGTGATGCAGGGCTGCTGGTGAAGAAGTCCTCCTGTTCAGGCTAGAAAGGGTAGAAGAAAGGAGGTAACTGGAGCTGGGAGAGATAGACTTCATTCTTCCTCTTCATTCTGTCTCCTAACCGTACACAAAGCCACAAGTCAGACAACCCTTTAGCAGGGACTATATTGTCTTCCTTCTTGAGCCAGAAGCCCATCTGGGTGGAGCTGCCAGCTGGAGTGATTGTTCTCATACTTCCATAGACCTCTTATTTTACGTGCGCTATATTGTTGTTAGAGCAGTGGTATCTCTTTGGAGACTAAGGTGCATCTGATACAGGCCATGGTCTTTGCTATCACTTGCTATGCATCAGAGAGTTGGACAGTGACTAGGGAGGATAGAAGGAGAATTGATGCCTTTGAGCTGTGGTGCTGGAGAAGAGTATTGAATATACTGGCTCAGGACAGAGCAGAGTTTAGGGCTGTTGTACATAGGGTCGCCATGAGTGGCAAGCTACTTGATGGCACATAACAACAACAACATATTGTTGTAGTTAGGTGCTGTCCAGTCAAGTATGACCCTTGGAACAACAGATCTGAACCCTGCTCTATCCTGTGCCATCCTCACAATCTCTGACACACTCAAGCCCATTGCAGCAGTTACTGTGTCAGTCCACCAGGTTGAGGGTCTTCCTCTGTCTTACTGATCCTGCCCTTCTGAGCATGATGTCCCTCTCTAAGGAATAGCCTACCTGCTTTTCCAATCATGATGCCTTCTTCCATATGATCTTCTAAAACAGAAAACAGTTCTGCAAGTTGTAGAATCTTTAATGGAAAGATTAGCTAAAAGGAGAAATTTAGCAGAAGGGTCAGCTCAATTGAAAACTATAGGACTGATGAAAATTTGAGAGGGACCTTGATCAGATAATGGAGAAATTGCTAATGACCGGTGTGAGGACAGACCTCAAGAAGTAATCCTTCTGAGCAGGTTGCTGATCACTGCTGTAGCTGGGAGCTTGTTCAAAATGCTTAAAAAGCAGGACCTGGCTACGATGTGGTACTTACACAAAGAGTCCAATCACTGTTTCACAGAATGTTTTATGGACATTAGTCCACACATGACTATACTATGCTGAATTAAGTGGTCCAAGTGCACTTCACTTGTTTTCCTTTTTCTGTATTTCTTTACATCTTTTGAGGTTTAAAAATTCCAATGAATATAACACAGGGTTACTATACATCACAGGTGACTAAATGGTACATAACATACTGTGACAGGTTTGGAAGCAGAAGTGGCATCCACTTCCTAAATAACTTGCCCATACAAACTATGAACTTTGATAAATGTTGATAGTTGTAGAGAGGCTTCAGGCCTTTTGTTCATAGGGTTGCTATGAGTCATGCTTGACTTAAAGGCAATCAACAATAGCAACAACAACATACCATTACTGGATTATCATAGGAAACTGGTAAAAAATTTTTGTAGAAAACATGTAGAATATTTTTGCATACTTGCAGCCATAGTACATACCTAATTTTGTATCTTTTTTTCCAGGCAATATTATAATACTTGCCTTCTTCCACAGACATAAGGAATTCTCTGTAAACATTTTCAGTAGCTACTTAATAACATTCAGCTAGAAATACCATCACTTACTTAAACAATTCCCTATTGTTAGACCTTCCACCTGTTTCCAGTTTTCATTTTAGCAGCAGTGCTATGAAGAACGTGTTTTTATTCAGAATCCTTTATTCTATTTGTACTGTTTCCTTAAGATAGTTTCTCAGAAGTAGAATTACTGGTTCAAAGGCTATTAGCATTTTAAATCTATTCATAGGTATTGCCAGAATATTCCCCTAGAGGGTTGTAACGTTTCATTTTCCTGCCAGCAATGAGGAGAGTATCTTTATGTGCTGTTTTGAAGTTTGAGATGTTTTTCTGCTCTAACTGCCTGTTTCTCCTCTTTTACTAAAGCCTCATAAAGAAAATGGCTCAGAGTGTGGTCGAAGTGATGGAAGATGCAAAGGGGAAGGTTCAGGAGAACCTCTTGGCTAATGGAGGTAGGTGGGTGACATGCTTTTAGAGTAACTGCTTGTTCAGCCCTTTTCAGAACATGTGCAGTCATGGCTCTGTCTCCAAGTAATCACTGGAGCACTCCAGGTCTCCTGAGGCTCTGAACTGATAAGTCTGGCAGTGGCCACACTTCTTCCTGTGTGAAGCTCAGCAGTGCCATTTTGTTGTCAAGACATGCCCCTTCCAGGTTTATAGTCCTCGTTTCATGTCACTTGACTTTTCTTACCTTGTAACTCAAGTCAGCCAATGCAATTGAGTTCAGTGAGGTCCATGGCAAAGTCTTGTTGTTTGTCCCACCTTCTCCAGACTCCTTTCCTTTCCCCATGGAAAATTCCATCTCCTCTCCTGGTAGGATAAATGCTAGGATGGACTCCATCTTTTCCAGACTGGGGGTGGGGATCATATACAGAAGAGTGCTTGAAATGAGTCTTAAATAAGGGGAATATAGTAAATAAGAAACAGGTCTAAATGGAAATTGGAAGCAGGGGTGGCATCCACTTCCTAAATAACATGCCTCTGGAAACTCTCTGAACTGTGATAAATGTTGATATTTGTAGAGGGGCTTCAGGCCTTTTGTTCATAGGGTCACTATGAGTCGTGCTCGACTCGAAGGCAGTCAACAACTAGATGGAAAATGTGCTGTGCTGTCACATTCACACTAAAATGCTTGGGTGAATATGTTAGGATGAATATTCTTTGATTCCAATGCACTTTTGGTTCATTAGTTATAGATATATGTATATATCATTTTAATCACTAGAAAATTGCATATAAAAAAACTTTGGGATTTTAGAAATTTTAAAACTATATACTTAAATATATAGAGAGAGCTAATTAGTGTAGTGTAGTCTACAGAGAGTTGTGCTGTTAACATAAAGGCAGCCAGTTCAAATCTACCAGCGGCTCCTTGGGAAAAAGACGGACAGTCCCCTCCCATGCAATTTATAGCTTCTGAAAACCTGCTGGAGGGGTGATCCCAACTCCACAGTGATGGCTTTGACTGTTTTTGAGGATGATTAAGCTTATGTTGACTGTATGCATGCACAAATGTTGAAAATATAAGTATATATTACATGTCTAACATTTCTATTACTAATTAAATAAACATTTATATCACTAGTTAAATATATATTTGTGTTTTCCTTCTGCCCTTAAAATAGGGTTATTTTCTAATGTTTGCTTATTTAAATTGACAGATGCAACTGTTTATAGTTCCAAATCTGAACTTGATGTTTTAATGTAATTTAATAATACCACTTTATTGTATTGCAGGTTTGAAGGAGAAAATGAAATGTTTAAAGAGTAGGTCATGCATTGTGTGGTGCGTCTGTGCACGGGGTGCTGTCTGCATGCTTCTAGGATGGAGAACTTTTGGCCTGGCTGTAGGGACCTTATGATCAAGTTATGGTGTATTTATCAACTAGTAACCCCATAACTAGGTCACACTAGCCATATAACTCAGATAGCAACGATTTTATTTCTTTTATTTCTTGTTTCTTCCTTGTGTGGTACTGAATATCATTTGGAAATGGGGAGTCTCTGGGATTCCGGCCGAACTTCTGCATCCTTTTACCTTCGTGACTGCCTGTGACATCCTGCCTGCCTGCTCCATGGGACTGAAGGACCAGGGCTTAGCTTTGTGGTGCATTTCTGAGCTTTCTTCTTGCTAGGAAACTTCTTTTCATGTTCCCTGGGAGAATCTCTGTGTCAAACAGGTCATTCTTGGTTTTGAGTTTTGGAAAGATAATTTGCTCTGGGTTTTCCCCAACCTGCTTAAACTGCATACTTGGGAGGCATTGCTGGTTGAATTCCAGACCATTGCAGTAAGGCAAATGTTGCAATGAAGCAAGACACACAATTTTTGCCATTGTTGTTTCTTTGGGCATATGAAAGTTAGATTTACCCTATACTGTAGTCCATAAAATGTGTGATAGTTTTATGAAAACAGTTTGAAATATCATAATAATTACCATAATTTGTCAGGGAGACAGAAAGTAAGCATGTGCTGTTGGGAAAAAAAGGCACAAAGAGCTTTTGTTCAACACAGGGTTTCCATAAACCTTCAGTTTGTTAAAAACAAAACAAAAACCCACTCTCTCTGTAAAGTGAAGTTCAGTAAAATGAGTTATTCCTGTTTTTTAATTATACCAGCCCATGTGCAGCACTGTGTACAAGTGGGTTTTAATTAGGTGGTACTCAATCTGGATTCCTGAATGTTTATTAAAGGCTCTGCAAAGTGCTTTAGTAAAGAGACCTTTTAACCACAGAAACAATAGCAATAAATGCTGGTGAAGATGTGGAGAGATTGGAACTCTCATACACTGATGGTCGGAATGTAAAATGGTGTAACCACTGTGGAAAGCAATTTGGTGCTTCCTTAGAAACTTGAAAATAGAAATATCATTTGATTCAGTAATGCCACAACTAGATATATATCCCTAGGAAATAAGATCTATGACACAAGTAGATCTGTGTTCACCTGTGTTCACGGCAGTGTTATTTAGAATAAATAACAAAGAGATGGAAACAATGTAAGTATTCATCAACAGATGAATGGCTAAAGAAACTCTGGTATGTTTGTACAATGAAGTATTATGCAACACTAAAGAATGATAAAGAATTTATGAGACAGTGCACAATATGGATGAATCAAGAGGAAATGAAGTTGAGTGGCATACTGAAGGATTGTTAAGATGGTTTATAAAGCTAAGGAAAGGCATAGCCATTCTTGGATGGTTGCCAGGAAAGGGAAGGGGAGAAGAGATTAAAACTTAAAGTATAAATAATATGAGTGAAAGTAAAGGCAAAATACAATAAGGGAAGGATCAGATATTATAATTAATTACTTTAATAAATTATAATTAATGTTATAAAGCAAAATATACAAATGAATGAAAAACCAATATATTAACATCCATTCAAAAGATTTTGTTAAAATGAAGAAATTCTTAAATACAACTGCCCCGTAAAAGATTATAGTTACTTCTCACCTAGGCCAGAACTTTACCGAGCTGTAAAAAAAGCAGACCTCTCCTCAGCTGTGAAACCACCACCTGCTCTTACGCCCCAGCTGTTTGGTTGGACAGCTTAAAGTGAAGTCGCTAACTCATTAAAAATCACTGCAAGACTCATTTGGGTCTCGCCATGTGTCTGTCCTGGTGCCCTGTCCCCACCCCAAGGGCTGAGAGGAACAGCAGAGGAGAGGCATGCAGTGAAGGCGTCACCTGGACCCACAGGGCTGCTGGCATGCTGCAGAAATAAACTACTGTACAATTCTTGGGATTAACCATCTTTACTTAAATGGAGTTTTAATTTAAATGAAGCTTTGCTAATTTTAAGTGTTAAGCATTTTGCATTAAAGTATTCATGTAATAAAAAAAAAGATTATAGTTAAAAAAAATAGAGAACCTTTAAAACTTTGGGTATGTAATTGACATCTAGGACAATGGACAGGAATAAGACCTGCCCACTAAACTTAAAACTTGCTATACAATATCTCACTGGCCCAGACTCCAGGCCCCAAGCTGCACCCAGATGAAGAATCCTTCTATACAACCCATCCACCCACCTCAGTGGTACAGTCCCTCTTGCATTTACTTCCTTTCATAGGGAAGAAGGCTGCTCTTTCCTTTGAGACATGTTGTTGTTGTTGTTGTTATGTGCCATTGAGTTGCTTGCACTCATAGCAACCCTATGTACAACAGCCCTAAACTCTGCTCTGTCCTGTGCCATTCGCACTGTCTCTGACACTCCCATCCTGATTACCCCAGTCACTGAATGAGTCCACCTCCTAGAGGGCCTTCCCTTCCTGTACTGTCCCTCCACCCTCTCAAGCGTGATGTCCCTCCCCAAGGACTAGTCTCTCCTTACAACATGTCCAAAGTATGTTAGCCGGAGCTTCAAAATCCTTGCCTCCAAGGAGCAGCCCAGTTTAACTCTTTCCAGGATGAATCTGTTTGTTTTCCTAGAACTCCATGGTACCCTCAATACTCTTTTCCAGCACCACAGCTCAAAGGCATCAATTCTCCTTCTATCCTCCCTAGTCATTGTCCAACTCAGGTGCACCTTAGTCTCCAGAGAGACACTGTTGCTCTTGAGTACTTTAGAGAGGTCCCTCACAGCAGACTTTCCCATCGCGATACATTTTTTTATTTTCTGGCTGCTGGTGCCAAGAGTGTTGACCATGGAGCCGAGCAAACTGAAGCTGTGAACAATCTCAATCTCTTCGCCATCCATCCTGATGCTACCAATTGGTCCAGTGGTGAGAATCTTTGTCTTCTTGACATTGAGCCTCAGTCCATACTGAAGGCTGCAGTCCTTGACCCTCTGCAGCAAGTGCTTGAGGTCCTCCTCAGTTTCAGCAAGCAGGGTTGTATCATCTGCATAACGCAGATTGTTGCTAGATCTTCCACCAATCTTGACCCCACATTTCTGCTTCTAAAGCCCAGCCTCCTGGATAATCTGTTCTGCATACAGGTTGAAAAGGTATGGAGACAGGACACATCCCTGGTGTACACCCTTCCCAATTTTGAACCATGCAGTGTTTCTTTGCTCTGTTCTGATGACTGCTTCTTGGTCCAAGTGTAGGTTTCTCATTAGCACAATCAAGTGTTCTGGGATTCCCATTCTTCTCAGAGTCAACCACAGTTTGACATATCTTCTCTCTCTCTCTCTCTCTTTTTAATCTATTATTCATTTCAATGAAAATTTACAGAGACTTTTGATTTCCATTCATTCATTGTTGCACTTTTCTCCCCTCTGAGCCCCCCCCCCAGTAATCTACTCTATTGGAAAAATAAAAGAAAAATTCTTTCATTGTTTTACAATCCCTCCTTCTAGGTCCACTCTACTATGTAGCCTTTGCTCTGGACTCCTGTCATGACAAAAATACCTTATCACATATCTAGTTTTCTCCCTCATCTGTTTCAATGCAGTATACATTATTAAACCCATCTTTCTCAGTCTCCCCCCAACCCCAATGTCAGTC